CTTGGAAGCAGCTGTGATCCTGCAAGGTGGCACAGACCCCAAGAGGCTGTGGCTTTGCCAGCAGCTGTGGCAAACCCTAATAGTGGCACCCACAAACCGGTGATCTTGAGAGATGGCACACCAAGTGGTAATGACAAGATTTGTTTCAACAAGAGCTGCACCAGTGTGTCTGTTCTATATTATGACTGTAACTTTACCAGGTGCCATAACAGGGGAATATGCAACAGTCAAAGACACTGCCACTGAGAATATGGCTGGGCTCCTCCGTCCTGTCAAGATAAAAGACTTGGAGGGAACATTGATAGTGGACCACCCCCATCTAGAGAGATGGTCACCAGGAACTATAATATAGGAATACCAATCTTGAGCACTGTTGGTATTCTTGTGATTTGCCTCTGTGTATGTTGTAGAAAGGTACTAAGAAAATGTTTCAGAAGGTGATAAAATACATTGATCAGGCACACTGTGGTATGGCAACTATAGTGGACTGGGACAGCACTTGTACGGTGCCTCTGAAAGTAGAAATATTTTCATTAGAAGCACAGATGTTGAACCTAAGTGGGACACACCAGGCGGTGTGGGGTGGGATTTGGGGGGGTGGGGCCGAGCAGGGGACACAGTTGGGTAGGAACAGTCTCTCGCCCTGAGCTCATTCCTACTCTGTCCCAAGTTGGAGTGCCACCTTCCCATGCCTCCATGTCCTGGCATGCCCCAGCCCCACTCTGTGCCTGGGCTTCAATGTCCCCGCAAGACAAACAGTGCTCCAGAGGAGGTGTGCTTGTTATAGCTGTCAGCACGGACTTACAATCACCCTCAAATCCTGTCCCAGCCCAGAGCACATAGGCCTGTCCTCTGCCATGGATCTGACAGGAACTTTGCCCAGATGGTGGTGGCAGAGGAAGAAATCGAGCCCATGGGACATGGTTTCAGTTGGAACAAACCCACTTTCAACTTCACTGGAGACTAACATGTGCTTTGGGAATTCTGCCAGGGCAGGGAGAGGCTGGGAAGAGCCCACGAGTAGCTCATTCTTGAATAATAATCATAAGACAAACCCTTTTATCAAGTAAAAGCTCATTCATGAGAGCACATCCTGCTAAGCTTCATAGGGGGCAACACACCTGACTGCAACAGCAGGTTTACCATTGATATGCTTAGAAATGTGTTCGAATCATTCTCATTATTGCCATCAGGAGAGTAAATGTGCATAGGCAGCAGGTCTCCTCTATGACCTGAGCTCACTGTATGTGGAAACAGAAAATGCCTTACAAAGCCAGAGCTGGGGCTACTTCTTCATTTCTCTTATGTTTCATGGAGTTCAATATTTGTAACATCATCTCAAGGGTATGTGTTTTTGGTCCTTACACATCACACTGATAAACCGTTTATAAGCACCATGAAGAGATACGCTGTATATAGTCTCATGCAGAAAGCCACCACATTACTGACTAGTGAATAGATGCCATGCAGCTCTTTGACAGTACTATCTCATTTAATGCCACTTGAGAAAGCTCATATTAAAAGACCATTTCATTGGTAAAGATGTGATATTTAGATGGCAAGTAATAAGATTTGAGAAGTTTTCTTGAAAAACTTGACTAGTGAACCTGATTTCTGGCACACTGAAAGTTTTGACTAAGAAACTGATAGTTTTCTGTTGGTCTTTGCCTATTTTACATTTTGTGAACACACATGAAAAGGGACCATTTTCTAGCATGCATGCCACAGTCCTACTAAAAAACAAACATCACTTCTACTGGACCTGTGAGTCAAGACCATTACCTGGCTCTTAAGAAGCTACAAAATTTTGGGCCCTCCATGTCAAAAAAATTGTTGGCAAATCAGAAAGAGCCCAGGAGACAGCAAAAATAAATAAGTAAAAAACCTAGAGGTCTTGGAAACATGAGTTAATGAGAAAGGCTGAAGGAACTGGGATGATGTAGTCTGGGGAGGAGGGGAGGCCGAGGGAATGTGATTCTCTCTCAAGGATGGTCCTAAAGGAGATGGCAATAGGCCGTTCACTCTCTGCAGGAGATAGGATAAGGCACAATAGTCTTTCATTGAAGCAAGGGAGATTTACGTTAATATTTAGAAGAGCTCTCTCACTGTGAGGGAGGTTAAGCATTGAAACAGGCCTCTCAGAGGAATCTCCATCTCCTGTGGAGTCGCCATGGGGGCTGCGATTCGATTTGGCTGGATTTGGTGGCCAAATCTCCAAATTTGAATCGAATCAGAGGACCCTTTAATCTCTCCAAATTGATTTGGAAAGATCCAGAAAGATTCGGCAATTCGGACACAGACACAGCTTTAAATGCTTTTTCTACATACCTCAAGGTACCAAGCGGCTCATGAGTGCTGCGATGCTGGGGCGCATGGAGCATCCCATAGGAGCACAGGGGGCTCCCCAGCATGCTCAGCAGCAGACCTGGAAGTGGACTAGAAGCACTTCCAGTCAGTCCACTTCTGGGTCTGCTGAAGAGCATGCTGGGGGCCCCCTGCACCCCCCTGGCTTGGCAACTGGTGCCTCCTGGGTCTGGCGGGGGCACCCAGGGTCCCCTCATGGCTAATTGCTGAGCCAGGGAGTGCAAGGGGGCCCCCCTGCGCGCTCCCTGGCAGACCCAGAAGTGGACCAGAAGTACTTCTAGTCCACTTCCAGGTTCACCACCAAGCACATGGGGAGTCCCACCCCACCCCACCCCACCCCCACTCCTATGGGATGCTCCATCTGCCTCACCATCGCAGCATTCATGAGCCATGCCTGGTACCTACAGGTATGTAGAAAAAGCATTTAAAGCTGTGTCTATGGCCAAATCTCTGATTCTCCGAATCAGCATCATATCTTCAGATTCGGATTCGGCCAAATGAATCAGGGACAGTGATCTGAATCAACAAATCGAATCATTGTCCCCGATTCAGGCTGAATTTGAATCTAAATTGAATAGAATCCATTTTGCACACCTCTCGTCACCATCCTTAGACATTTGTAAGAACAGGTTAAAACGCTTACCTGGTCTGGTCCTCTGTTCAGTAAAGGAATGGACTTGATGACCTCCTGAGGTCCCTTCCAGCCCTTTCTCTTGTATGATTGTATGCATATGCACAAAGGAAGCAGGCATTCTTAATGTGGGCATTCCCGACTCCAAAATGCTTGGCCTTGCAACCTTAACAATATTTGTTTAATCGTGTGCATGCACGTGTGTGTCTTGTTTTAAATGACTTGCCATAGCCAGTGATCAAAGCACCTGGTTTGGGCAACACTTTTGTTTTCTCACCAACTCTTGTTGCCTGTTCCTCCTGACTCACTTTGCATCTAGAGATGTCTTGTAGGGCTGTGCGAAATTTCGCTGGCTGTTTCATTTTGACACCGTTTTGACTCATTTTGAGGTCAAAACAGCACAATGGAAATGAAACAAAGGGTGTGGAAACAGCCTTGAAACAAAACAAGGCTAGTCGAAACGTTTCGAAAGTCAAAATGTTTTGACCATAGCACTGGGCATGGGAAGTCAGTCTAGCTGGGCTTACTCCCCGCCCCTGGCACGATCTAGCACAGGGGATGGGGAATCAGCCCAGGTAGGCTGATTCCCCACCCCTGGCCCAATCTAGCAAAACATCGAAACAGAGTCAAAACAGCCTTACTGTCTCGACGAAGCAAAATGGAACAGCTGTTCTGAAGCAAAATGAAATTCAATACAAAACACTGTTCCATCCAAACTTCGAAACTCAAGGCGAAAGGGAACGGTGCTGTTTCGCACAGCGCTAATGTCTTGCCCTCACAGAAGCTCAAATTCAAGATGGAAAGAATCCTCCCCTGGGACAGCTCAAGCCTTGCCATCAACAGCTTTAATAACAGGTTTCTACAGAGATAAAGCTGTTAAAATGAGCTTTCAACAGTGAAAGTTCATGGTCTTTGCCACTACATTCTAATACTAACAAGGGGCAGCAAGATCCTTTTGCAAATTCTTCCCCACACATTGAATCCCCCAGGTAGGAACTGGCCCTCCCTTCACTAGTGTCTCATCCATTTCTCTTGGGCCCCTTTAGTGCCAGCACCCTGCTGAGTGATCCTTGCAGT